AGTGGCCCACAAGAGTGTCCCACAAGAGTGTCCCAGAAGAGTGTCCCGTAAGAGTGTCCCCCAAGAGTTTCCTACAAGAGTGACCCACAAGAGTGCCCCACAAGTCCTACAAGAGTGTCATTTGGACATATGTAGCTTTTCGAACGTGTTTGCATTCGGGTTCGTGGGCTCCATCTTGATTTTTGACTAAGCTGCAAACATCTGCAATCTCTTTGATTATCTACAGTACTGCTTTGGAATTTTGAGCAAACTCTCTTCAATACTACCTTCAAGATGCATGTTCAGCACATCTTCATTAGAAACCCCTTAAAGAAACAGAATGTGAGCTACAGAAATGAATTGCCAGCTGTTTTGCTAGAATTGCACAGCAAATTGAAATCAGCTTGTGTGGAAAAGCAGACTGGATTCGCGAAACTGACACGCAAATTGTCTGTTTAATTCTTCACAAAAGTTGCCTCCTGTTCATATCAGCTTCTCTGGTTTTGAGGGGCCCCTAGTCCATTCCCGTCCCAAATCTATTGAGCATATTGAGGGCGGGGGACTCTGAGCGTACGCAGCTTCAATTGTGTCACAGTCCAACGAAACAAAACTGGGCGGCAGTGTGGCCCGAAAGCACAGTAGGAGTAAGAGAAGCATTGACATGGTATAACGGAAAAGTGAAACAAATCAATCCTAGCTCTCTACAGACACTGTGGCTGAAGTGATTTTTGCAGCCCCGCAACTACACGAGCCACAAGCAAAAATGCCAGTAGGTGAAAAGACCTTCTGGGAAAACACCTTCTGGCACACAGACACATCAACCACAACACCAGGAGGTCCGCAAAGCTACGGTTACAGTAGGGAACGTGAAACTGAGACTTGCGTGTTGCTAATCAGTTAATCCTAAATGCTTCAGAGCAGTTTAAAACATGTGGGAAGGAAGAAATAACATTCTCCCAACTCACTCGCCTGGTAGTTCTTAGTTCCCAGTTGTGTTGAACACATTCTAAAGCATTTGGCCGAAGTTTGAATCCCAAATGCAATGCGTTGGATTCGGTCATAAAGTGCCCAAAGTATTTGTTCTTTTGCGGTCATGTTGCATGTCGTGAGTGTATACATGAGATTTGATTTTCAAGGTGCGTGCAACAGTGGGCGAAAGTGCGCCCACATGTGCCCAGCTCACAGTGCATAAAGGATTCTCCGATTCCTGTCCCCACTGTCACAGACTCACATAGTGACGACTCGACTAACGATCTGCAGCTCTGGACTGATTGCGCAGATGGTTGCGCGCAATGTGCATATTCAGGCGAATCACAGATGAATTTTCGCAAAAGATCCGCGAATGCGCCATTAAAGTCCCGGTTGTAAAATTTGAGCGCCCCGAACATTCCCCGAGCTGCATTACCCGGTGGCACGAGGGTTGGATCGAGTTGTGCCTGACTCTACTCTACGCCTCCTCCACATACCCTCAACTACTAGGGTCTGGAATGGGTGACCCTCCAGGGTCTGACAGGCAAAGGTCTAAGATGGGTCATGTTTTCATTGTAGACCTTTTTATGCTGGGTCAAGTAGACCTTCAGAAGTTGGCTTGAAATATGGTTGATATAAAATATTTTGCGCTTTCAGAGAGCTGGCTTTGGAATCATCACAACTTGGTGGAAGTTGAACAGAAGCGGTTATGGTGAAACAACTGTTTTTGCGAGGTCGTGAGCGTGCTCAATACTCCGCAGCCATTTTGGTAACAAACTTTTTGGTCAACGATGGGCCCTAAAAAGCCTGACCCGCCCTTTTGGGGTCTAAAATGCAACCACCGAGGGGCCCTGCATGTAG